TGACCCATGAACTGAAGGGTCATGGGTTCTATTCCAGCCAAGGGCATGTACCTCCGTTGCAGGCTCTATCCCTGGTTGGGGCTCGTGTAGGAGGCAACCAATCAATTTGTCTCTCTCACATCAATGTCTGTCTGTCTGTCTCTCTCCCTTCCACTCTCTCTGAAAAGCAATGGAAAAAATATCCTAAGGTGAGGATTTAAAAAAATAATAATTAAAAAAATAATGAGTCTGTCTTTGATGAGACACCACTAAGACGTCATTTTTACTAAATATCCTAAATACATACAATCTTATTAAATATCAAGGACTCTGTTTATTTACAACCAGTACAATGTATGAAATTTCAAACTATAAATGGAAAGAAATAACACTACTCTTGTTAAATAATTAAAAATTACATAAAGGAACGGAAGACAATCCAATTAAAAAATGGGCGAAGGACCTGAATAGACACTTCTCCAAAGAGGACATACAGATGGCCAAGAGACATGAAAAAATGCTCAAAGTCACTAATCATCAGAGAAATACAAATTAAAACGACAATGAGGTACCACCTCATACCTGCCAGAATGGCTATCATCAATAAATCAACAAACAACAAGTGCTGGCAAGGATGTGCAGGAAAGGGAGTCCTAGGTAAACTGTTGGTGGGAATGCAGACTGGTGGCAGTTACTATAGAAAATAGTGGGGAGCGTCCTCAAAAAATTAGAAATGGAACTGCCATTTGACTCAGTGATTCCACTTCTAGGAATATATCCTAAGAATCCTGAAACACCAATTAGAAAGAACATATGCACCCCTATGTTCATAGCAGCGCTATTTACAATAGCCAAGATCTGGAAACAGCCCCAGTGTCCATCAATGGATGAGTGGATAAAAAAAGCTGCGGTACATTTACATAACAAAATACTATGCAGCTGTAATAAAATAAAATTAAAAAAAGGCTCTCTTACCCAATGAAACAGTAGGGAGGGACCTTGAGAGTATTATGCTAAGCAAAACAAGTCAGAGAAATAAAAATATGACAATCTCACTTATATGCGGAATCTAATGAACAAAATAAACTGATGAACAAAATAGATCCAGAGACATGGAAGCATGGAACAGACTGATGAATCTCAGAGGGAAAGGGGGAGAAGGGATGGGAAGAGATAAACCAAAGAATGTATATGTATATATGCATAACCCACGGACACAGACAATACTGTGGTGAAAGTGGGAGGTGG